AAACTGCCCTGTTTCTTCTTTGTCAGGAGTTGACTGGTTCATTGCAGTCTCTCCAGTGATGGATTGGTAAAAATGTTTCTGATTCAACTGAAATTGGAGATTCTGCCTGTAGTGTGCAATTCGAGCTTCGTCTCTGCTGATCTTCTTGCCTATGGCTGTTATTTGCTGCTGTATTATTTCCAGTACTTCCTTGATCTTCCTTGTTTCTAGGTGATATTTCTTGATCAGGTATTCTTTGGTCTTGTTCTTCAGCTTCTTTTCTTTCATCTGTTCTAGCTTGCTTGCATCTGATCTTAGTGTGCTGATCTTATTTATTATTATTTATTATTTAACTGATGATGATGATGATATTATTATTTAGTCTAAGGTGATGTGAACTGACAAGGAAAGGGAGCTCCAAAGAAAGAATATGTTTATTTGAAAGAACCCTGAAGAAAACAAGCTCTTTTCTCTCCATACAAGTATCCACTACTAAATAAAAAAGGAACCCTGTTGTATGAAATGAAATTTGCTTCTACATTCTTGCTGTGGGGAGGATTCTATAGCCTATATGTATCCTTTGTTTGAATTACAGCCATCCACCATATTTTTAAGCATTATTGCAAGAGCTTCCATCCATCACAAGATTGATACCTATTTCTTAAAATATAATTCTAACCAATGTTGATGCATCTAGCAAAAGAACCAGAAATCTGCCACTTAACCTGTTTCAAAATGTCAGTAGATAACCTAGTTAATATACTTACATTAGTAAGATGTATCACTCCTTTCGATGTAACAGAACAGCCCATTTCTAACCAATGTTGATGCATCTAGCAAAAGAACCAGAAATCTGCCACTTAACCTGTTTCAAAATGTCAGTAGATAACCTAGTTAATATACTTACATTAGTAAGATGTATCACTCCTTTCGATGTAACAGAACAGCCCATAAACCCAACATACTGTAACTCAGGACAATGTTCAGAAAATGCTTTAACAGACTGATCAGTCACCTAAATAAAGAGAGAAAAAAAGCAGTTTACATTATTCTGAATACTTAAATAAACAAAGTCCAATAAAACATTCTGAAAGAACAAATGATAACTTGCAGGATCATATTTTTGTTATAATAGCATTAAAGAATGGGCCTTAAAGATCTTTGGGAAAAAAAAAAGATAAAAAAGCTTCCTTTTTTCCAATAAATATCACTAAAATACACACAATCAAAATAGAAGAATTGATTGTACTTGTAAGGGTAACAGAATGAAAATCAATTCTCCAACTTTTTTTTAGAATCCACAGTATTCTGAAAGCAATACACATACATATTCACACAAGAGTAGAACTCAGTCACTTTTGAGAAAAGATAAGCAGGTCAAAGCTCTTGCAGGCAAACCAGATGAATTTGCCAGCTTGTTGGATGCCAACTGGGCAGAGACTTTCATAGTAAACTACTTTGGTAGTATCTTGTAATAAAATCAGGGATCCTTTTTTGCTTGTAAAGCTCAAGGAAGTTTAGAAGGTTCTCTGTATTTTGAACTCTGCTACCCATGGGCTTGATTCATGCCTTTCCTTGCTCCTTTGGATGATTAGGCAGGGTGTAAATAGCTGGATCAGGGAAATTATTAATGCTACCCTTTGCTTTGAAAACAGCAGCAGTGCATTCTCTCTCTCTCTGCCCCTCCCTCCCTCTCTCCTTTCCTGGACCCAACCATTTTTGAAAACTTTCCCCCTATCTCCAACGTTCTACTTTTATAGGAAACAGATTACCCTGATTATCAGTCAGGATTCTAGTATTAGTCACTCTACCAGATGATCTTTGTCAGGACGTGAGGGGAGTATGACTCTCTTGGTTCTATTAGACTTCTCAGCAGCATTCAGCATCATGACCATGGTATCCTTCTGGACTACCTTCAAAGTTTGTGAGCTGGAGTTGCTGTTTTATGGTGGTTTCCAGACTGGGCAGTTGTAATCAGTGATCATGTGGGGGGAGCAATACCAATGTGGGGGTCCCATAGGTTCAGTGCACTCTCCCATGTTTTTTACATATACATGAAATGTCCAGGAAACATCATCTATCAGTTTGTCATTGTTACACATTGTTACCACATGTCTAACTGGAGATGCTGTGAAAGTACTGAACTAGAGACTATAGGTTGTGCAGAACTGGAGGAGCAAATCAAGTTCAGCGTAATTACACCAAGACAATGTTGCTAATTATCAGTAAATACCATGTTATTACGATAACAGCAGTTCTTCAGGATTTACACTCCTAAAAGTAGTAATGCCAGTTATAACTCTATGTGGAACAGGATGCTATGATATCTAGAATCATGCTCTGATCACCACTAGATTGGACTACTGCATTGTGCTTTACACAGGGCTACCTTTGGAGATGACTCAAAAATGACAGCTGATATACAATGCAGTACCCAGAGTCCCAATAGTATACCAGGGTAGAGTTACACTTATTATAAAGTTGTTAGGTTGGGTACCAGTAGATTTTCAGATCCAATTTAAAGTGTTGGTCACTATTTTTAGAGCACTAAATGGCTCCAATAAGTCCCTTCTCTTTGTGAGGTGATATGGACAAGATTGCAGGCTTTTTTTGATGGTAGCTTCCACCTTGTGGAATATTTCTGCCTCCACTACCCCATTTTGTTGATATTCAGAAATAATTTAAATCAGCTTTATTCCAACAAGACTTTGGCCACAGTTGACTGATTCTGGGTGCATATCTTCAGTTTATCTTTGGTTTCTGATTATGTTTTTACTATAATGTTGGTTATTTATTTCTTTTGCTACTGTTTATATTTGTTATGGAATGTCATTAGGAACATGGGAATCCCAGAACATCTCACTATCCTCATGGAAAACAGACATACAGGACAAGACGGCAGACTTTTGATGAAACATGGCAAAACAAACTGGTGCCAAGTTGGCAAAGGAGTGAGACACGGTTGTATAATCTCTCCTTTTTTAATTAAAAGTATATGCTGAATATATATTGAGGAAGACTAATTTGAAAGAAGATGAACATGGTTTTAAAAACTGGAAGAAGAAACACCAATAACCTGTGCTATGCTGATGACACTATTTTGAAAGTTGAAAATGCAAACGACCTGCAAGCTCTAGTAATGAAAATCATGGAGCACAGTAAAAACATGGGACCAAGATGATATATAAAGAATACTAAACTAATGACAACAGATACAACAACCAACCTCAGAATTCTGCAATGAAGATATTGAGATAGTGGATAGCTTCTGCCTTTTAAAATTGATTATCAACAGTATATGAACCAGCAGTTAAAAAAAAAAAAAGCCTTGGACTAGCACTTGGTTGATAGTACTGAAGTTCTTCGAAGAGATATTTAATGAGATATTTAATGTTACAATGTGTCTGAACCTATAAAGATCATAATCATGCAGGGAGTGATTTTCCCTATGATACTCTATAGAAGAGAAAGTTGGACTTTGGAGAAGCAGATAGAAAGAGTATTAGCACTTTTGAACTTTGATATTGGAGAAGGCTCCTGAGAATACCATGGATAGTCAAGAAAACAAACAACTGGATCATAGCATAAATCAATCTAGCATCTCACTCGAGGCACAAATGATCAGCTCAAAATATCATACTTTGGAAATTTATGCTAAGACTTAGCTCTGCTGAGATATCTATAACACTGGGAAAGATGGTTTTCTTATGTGAAAGATTTCTAAAGTGTAAAACGCCCTGGGTTGGACTCAATCTTACCCATTCCATTTGTAGAAATTGACTCTGGAGGAAAGTTATCCATTTTCTCTGATTCCTCCTTTTCTCAGTATCACCTTTTCATGTGGTTCTGGAGGAAGACTAGAGAAATATATCTCACTAGCTGAAGATTTAACCATTCTGAAGGCAGCTTATTACCAAAATAGGATAGGCAACAGTAACAAAAAGAATCATTACCTTTGTAGTAATGATTCTTTTACTTCACTTTATCTTACTTGAAAGTGGTAAAGTAATACTTAGCATCTAACAAGCATCTACTATGTGCAGTTATCAGGCAACCAACAAATTGTCACCAAAATTGAAATGTATCACTTTAAAATACAATCATAGCACTTTTAAGAACTGGGATTGATGCAGAAAGAAAATGTCCTATTCTGAGATGCTCTTTATTTTAAAATAAATAGAACATTTAAAATATATAATTATGCTTTAGATTTATATTCTCATGCAGCTTAAAATACCCTTGTGAAGTAAATAAGTGTAATCACTCTCAGCTCAAATGTATCTGTTGGTGAGCTTTGTTTTGGTGCCTTCAATCACTTGATGATTAGGTGGTCTTGGAAATCCAATAAATACATCTTGAAAAATAAAATAAAATTACATTCACTGGTTGCCCATCTTTTTTTCAGTTAAGTCACAATTGTCCAGAAAGACCATCTTCAAAATTGATCAGCAGCAAGCATAACTGCCAACATTTACCCGCTACAGTATCAAGGTAAGTCTGCTCTTTTGGAAAGGTGGTATACTTATATCAAGAGACACAAAAAGCAATATGACAGCCAGAGCTCCAAATGTGACCCAAAATCCCTTTTGGTGACCAAGCTCCCTGCAGCACCTCACTTTTAAAAATAAAAATTAACACACTTTACTATAAAACAAGTTACAAAAGTAGTTGACATTCAGCAAAGCAAAAGCATCTACCATCATATTTATTTGCCTTTGCACCCAAAAAATTCAACTTGGAAAGTTAAGAACATCTTATCTTAGAGACCTAGTTTATCTTTTAGAAAACAGGTATTTTGAGAGTAACTATGCTCACTTCCACAGCTATTTCGTGAAGAGAAAATTCCCAAAGTGGCCATTATGTGTGTGTACTTACCACTATATGCTCTCAAATTCTAAATATATTCTCAGCCCAAAAGGGTTGGCTATTCTTAGCTTACCTGATATACTTGAATGTCAATAAAAGAATTCATTACAATATTTTTTTTTTCTTCTGTGAATTCTTGGGAATCTGTTTTCTATAATTTGCTTGTATTGATCTCTGTAGTAAAATTATCAATTTAGTTTAATTTCTTAAAGTATAGCACTCAGGCTTTGTATATAAACACATTATCATAGTATTCTTAATTAAACATGATACAAAATTCAACTTTTCATGGCATACTACTAATTTCAAATATAGCTTTACACAATTTGGGAACTTGGGCTAAGTGCTAAATTCTTTTGGAACCAGCCAGAGTAAAGCTATAAACTGTAAATATTAGTTCCTTCAGTAAAGAAAAATAGTCTAAAAGTCTCCTCAGTCAGCACTTGCAGTCTCCATGTCAGCATTTCTTACCACTTTAATATAAAAAATTAATGTGTTTTCACAGCCCAAGTATCTCATATAGCAATGGATATTTTAACTCTGTACTGTCAAGTAAAATACCAAGGGATTTACTAGATTTCCAATGTATCATCATTCTATCTCCTAACTGTAATTTGTGAACTTCCAACTGATGATAACAGTTTTTTTAAAACTTCAAATTGTGTTAATGAAGGGAGACTGTCACAAAATAAAATTGGTAATTCTCTACAAGGACTGAGACTATATTGGGCTTAATGCTGGAGCAATTCTTTTGAAATCTGGCCATAACTTTTTACTCTGCTGGTTTCACTATCTTTCCAGTCTTTGGAATTTGAAAAGATATATTTGTTATCTTGGTATGGGCAGCTAGTAACTCCACAGAAATCAAATTTCAGTGCTCTCTAGAGGCTGCACATTTAAGCAGTTGTTTCTAATTTTCTTTTCTGTTCAAGCACAACTTTCTTTTGCCAGGCAACAATCAGATCCCACTAATTCCTACGAAATTTTAAGTGGAGAACCAGATAATTATTTTTAAAGTGAAAATATGGATATTGCTATTTTTGACACAAAATAAAGCTATGTCCAAATATGCTTTTTAAAAATGAACACGCAAGTGGAAACCCAGAATGTATGTAACTTTAAATGATTTTTAAATAACTTTTGTTCTCTCATGTGTATATCCACTGATACTACTCAATTCTAAGGGACACATATAAAGAATTTGCATACATGACAAGTTCTCCACAGCATTTCCAAACATCTCTCCAGTCCTAATACCATTCAGTAATACAAAAAAGAATGCAGAGATGCCTCAAATGATATAAGCTATATGTAAGTGGCCTGTTCATTCTTTTTTTTAAAAAAATATTCATTTATTCATTCATTATATTCATTTATTTCCTGCTTCAGTTCAGCTGGAGTCTAGGTGATATAAATATATGTTATAATAAAACTATTATTAATAATTAACAACAACAAAAGAAGCAATAATAGAGACATTTCAGTACCAGAAACTCCATTAATGTCCCAAAGCCAGGTTTTTACAAGCCTCTGGAATGCCACAAGAATAGAGGCCAACCTCACCTTCAGAGAGTAGGCTGTTGGAGGGTAGAGGAGCTCCCAAGAAAGACACCCCACTGTTGGCCTCCTCCTGCCATACCTCATCCTTATTAGATTTTTATCTTGCCTTTTTTATATATAACTCAAGGCAGCAAACATACTAAATATTCCTGCTTCCTATTTTCCCACAGCAACAACCCTGAGAGGTGGGTTGGGCTGGCAGAAACTGGCCAGAGTCACCCAGCTGGCTTTCATGCCTAAGAGTGGCCCAGAACTCACACTGTCCTGGTTTCTAGGCCAGCACCTTAACCACTACACTTATAGGCGGGTACATTCAGCAGGTGTACTCTGGCCACCAGGACTGGATGAGCAGGGTCTACAGTATTTGATAAGGGAACACTCATAGATATCCAGGCACTGAACCATAGAGGGCTTTAGAGATAATTAGAAACATACTGATGTTCATGCAGCTCCCACAATGGTGATATAA